TCTCTCTCTCTCTCTCTCTCTCTCTCTCTCTCTCTCTCTCTCTCTCTCTTTTTCTCCCTTCCCCACCTCTTTCCTATACATAGCCCTCCCATTTGTCCTGTATACTGAGCCATGGTTCCAGCAGCAGATAAACTGGGCTGGTCCTTTAAGAGTAAGTTTAGCCTTTTTTTTTTTTTTTTTAAGCTTGAAGTCTAAGAGACCCAGCCTGGAGAGAAATTGCATTAGAGAATAATACACCTTAGATTCCACAGCCTGGAGGGATGGAGTGGACTATGGGTGCTGTTTTCCTGAAGTGGTGACTGTTTAGGAGGTATGTGTGTTTATATCCTTTAAACTCTGACATCGATTCTTTTAATTTCTTAATTAGTAAAGACATTTTTATTGCATTTTATGGTCCATGAGTACCCTAGAGTCTGAATCACTGGACTGACCCAAGGTAGGTGTGACACAGGTTATGTGGGATAAGGTGTGAGTTAGGATTGTGAGAAGAGAGTGGAAGGTTTGGAATATTCACCGTGGGAGGCATTTACCACCTTAACAAAGCATTTAGTGCTGAATAAAAGGATTGCTGTGTAGCTGTAAGAACCCACTTGAGGTGACCAGTTATAAAATGAGAGCTAGGAGGTAACAGATGGATGGCTTGAGTTTTGCACTGGTGTCTTGATCCCCTCTCTTGCTCATGCCTTCCCTCTATTGATTTTTCTCCTATTTAGCCTATGTATATTTTGTTTGTTGTACATAGTTGTTTTCATCTTTTTCCCTCAACTGTGAGCTCCTTTTTTTTTTTTTTGTCGGCTCCTCTTTTTTGCCTTTCTTTGTATCCCTAGTGCTTAACACAGTACCTGGCACATAGTAGGCATTTGATAAATGCTTACTGATTTATTGATCAAAAAAAAAACTTTTTTAGGTAGCTTCTCTGTGAAAGAATTATGGAAAGATTTGGACAAGAATAATACAGGATGGTATAGAACAAACTGGTGAGATCACAGATCAGTGAAAGTAAGAATAACCCAGTTATATAATCATATATATATATAGATATAGATATATGTATATATGTTCTATGAGGTAGGTAGTACAGGAATGGTTATCCTTCTTTATTTCTTCATTTCTCACCAGGTTGCACTCCTCCTGACTTTTCTATTCACCATGCCCTCAGAAACCTCTTCATCCTGGAAGATCACCTAGCCCTGGAATGTCCACCTTGGAAGTACCTTCTACTCCTCCCGATACTTGGATGGATCCACCTAGAACCTCCAGTTAAGGGTGCCCAGACCAGACATTTCTTCATTTCACACTAGACTGCCATACAGACTTCTCTGTCATGCCCTGGAGCCAGTTTCCTTTCTCCCCTATCCCTTTCCCACTTTTTTGCATGGTCTTCTAAGTTATTCTTCTCTAACCCCCTACCATATTGGAATGTAAACTCCTTGAGAGTTATTCTTTTTGTTTCTATTTGTATTCTCAGCACTTAGCACAATGTCTGAAACAAAGTAAGTCCACAGCAAATACTTGTATGTTTTACAGTAAGGAAACTGAATGGAGGAATGGGTAAGTGACTTGCCCAGGGTCACACTGTAAGTTTCAGAACTGGGACTCGAAAATACTCAGATCATTTGACCCCAAGATCAGTGCTCTTTCTACTATACTGTAGTGTAACCAAAATTCAAGGATTTACAGTTTTGTGGCTTTTTTTTAACAGCTGAAAAGGGAAAGATGTTTATGGAACTCCAACTCCATGGGACTACTGGAAGATTGTGTTGACTCTGAAAACTTACTCATTTTCACTAGCAGTGGAGATTAAGAACAGTTTGATGTGACGAATATCACCTTTATTTAAATTTTCTTTTATCCCATTTGGAAGTTATTTAAGTTCTGGTTATTTTTTTAATTGTCGTCTTCCAGCTCTGCTCACTAGGTGGCGACCTTGCTTCATTAGCAAAACCAAAGGCAGAGACGTTTTAAAAGAATTTTTCAGGACAAAATTAAAAAAACAGGCATTCCTTATCCATCATATAGAATTGTGCTGTTGGTCAAAAAGTCAAGTCAGCAAGCATTTATTAATCGCCTACTTACGTGTAAGAAAGAAAGGCAAAACGATGGTTCCACCATCACCTATAAGCTCACATTCTAATGGGGGAAACAATTCGTAAAAAAATCATAAAAAGAAGATAGAGTGTAAAAAGGAGGTAATCCCAGAGATAAGGTGCTAGCAGTAGGGGTAGTGGGAAAGGCCTCTTGCAGAAGGTGAGATTTAAGGTATCTTTAAAAGGGAGCCAGGAGGTGGAGGTGAGGAAGAACATTCTAGGCACAAAAGACAGCCGTTGAAAATGCCTGTAGACAAGAGATGGAGTGTCATGGGTGAGAGAGACAAGAAGAAGGCCAGTGAGCTGGATTGTAGAGTGACATGGCAGAAAGTCATAGTCAACGAATCTAAAATAATAGCTTGGGGCCTGGTTATAAAGGGCTTTAAAAGCCAGAGATTTTAGATCTTAACCCGAAGATAATAGGGAAGCACTGAAGTTTTATTTAGGTAGTCAGACTTATACTTTAAGAAAAGTATTTTAGCACTGAATGGAAGATGGCCTTGGAGTGGGGACTGGAAACAAATCAGAAGGCTACTGCAGTAGTCCAGGCATGAGGTAATGAGGGCTTTTACAGCAACTGTGTGAGAGGAAAGAAGGAGACTATAGGAGATAATGTGAAAGTAGAAACAATAAGACTTGGCAACATTACTAGATGTGTGAGTTAAGTGCAAATGAGGAGATGAGGATGACACTAAAATGATGAAACTGGGTGACTGGGAGGATGGTGGTGCCCTTGACAGTAGTGGGGAAACTTTTGGGGGGAAAATAAAGAGTCCAGTTTTGGGCAGAGTGAGTTTGAGTATGTCTATAGGACACAGGTCAAGATGTCTAAGAAGCGATTGGCAATATGAGGCTGGAGGTCAGGAGAGAGGTTCAGACTCAATAAATAGATTCGAGGATCATCTGAATAAAGATGATAGTTGAACCCATGGCACCTAGCCACAGGCTTAGCTATAGATAGCACCACTACCACCAAATAAAATAGTATAAAGGTGGAAGAAGAATGTTCTGGATAAACCCTTCAAAGACATGCACAGTTAGTGGTTAATGAAGCCTTGTTAACTGATTGACTAAATGCTAAATAATACTCATTTAGTTGTTGTTCAGTCATCTTTTCAGTTGTGTCCAACTCTTCATTACCCTATTTGGGGTTTTACTGCAAAGATATTGGAGTGGTTTGCTATTTCCTTCCAGCTCATTTTACATATGAGGAAACTGAGGCAAACAGAGTTAAGTGACTTGCCCAGGTCATATATCTTGTAATCTGTATTAAAATCTGAGGCCAGATTTTAACTCAGGTTTTCCTGACTCCAGGCCTAGTGCTATATACACTGTGCCACTTTGCTGTCCCATAACATTATTACATTCCAATTCAAGAATTTGATATGAATTTTTTGTTTGATGCAAATTCATTATTCAATGTTATTGAATATTCATTTCATTTAATATTATTCAATGTTTATTGAACTTAATATTACTCAGTGTCTATTGAAATAAGATGAAATAACTTATTTTATTCTATTGTTGTAATGTAAACTTGGGTTAGAAAGTGAGATGACCAAAATTTAAGTACCTTATATATTCTCAAGACAGCTAGGTGGCACAAAGGAATGAGTGCTGCGCCTGGAGTCAGGAAGATTTATCTTCCTGAGTTCAAATCCAGTCTCAGACACTTACTGGCTGTGTGATCCTGGGCAAGCCACTTAACTCTGTGTGCCTCAGTTTCCTCATCTATAAAATGAGCTGAAGAAGGAAATGCAAACCCCTCCCATATCTTTGCCAAGAAAACCCCAAATGGGGTCCCAAACAGTCAGACACAACTGAGGTGACTGAACAACAATATATTCTCAGTAAAGCAATCAATAGGCATTTAATAAGCATACTACATGCTAGGAACTGTACTAGGTACTGGGGGTACAAAGAAAGGAAAGGAAACAATCCTTACTCTTAAGGAATTTAAATTCTCCATTTCACATCAGTTACATTATTTTAGTCCAGGGGTTTTCAACCTAAAGAGTACCTGTGAATTTGTTTTAAAAATATTTTGATAACTATATTTCAATATAATTGGCTCTCTTTTTAATCCTATATATTTTATTCATTTAAAGACATTATTCTGAGAAGGGATCCATAGGCTTCATCAATTCACCAGTGAGTCCATGACAGAACAAATGTTAAAAGCCCCTCTGCATAAGGGAAAATAGAGTGAGGAGAAGTCGCCTGGGGCCACAGAGGCCCATTAGATGTGATTCAGAATCCAAATTGTTCATTCCAGTTGAAAAACAGTCTGTGTCTTAGCTTTCTGATTACTCAGAACTATAAAAAAAAAAACTATCTTAAGTTAATGCATAATTGATTATGGCGCATGACATGTAATCCTTCAGTCTCCTAACGAGTGGGCATTTTATTCATTCATAGCATAGGTTCATTATATTTAAGGTTTCAAACTTTATTTTCTTAATGTAATCTATTTGATAGAAGTTCTCTATTATATGATTTTTATAATTTGGTTTTTACTTTAATCTTGATAACATTTTTAAAAACCCAAATCCTTACCTCACATTGCTACAACTATTGCATAAAGTCATGACTTATTTTTGGAAGCTTACTACTGATTGAGTTGATGCTTTTACTACTCTAAAGTATTTATGATGTTTGTTTACAATCATGGGTTCATATTCTTCCCTTGGCTGTATGTGTCTCTCTCAACTGAGAGTTGCATACTAAATATAAGGGCAAAATTTGATTTGTAGTCGAAAGTACTGGCTTAGAAAAGGATTTAGGTATTTAGCCATAAGGGCAGTTAGGTGGCATAGTGGTTAGAGTATTTGAACTCTTCCTGAGTTCAAATTTGACCTCAGACACTTACTAGCTGTGTGACCCTAGGCAAGTCACTTAACCCTGTTTGCCTCAGTTCCTCATCTGTAAAGTGAGCTGGAGATGGAAATAGCAAAACATTCTTTGCCAAGAAAATTTCAAATGGGGTCATGAAGAGTCAAACGTGATGCAACAACAACATTTAGCCATACAATTGGCTTATTAGAGATCTTTCCTTCATAGGCTATTGTTCATTTAATGTTTGCTTTTACTTAAAGTCCTGTGTGTAATAAAAATACAAGGTTGCATTACTAAGAGCACAGATTTGGAGCATCTTGGTTCATATTCCACCTCTGTCATTGACTCCTTCTTTGTTCTTGGGCAAGTCACTTTTTTTTAAATTAATTTATTTTGATTTCTCAACAATCACTTCCGTAAGCTTTTGAGTTTTAAATTTTTCTCCCCCTCCCTCCCTAACTCCTTCCCCAAGAGGGCACACAATCTAATATAGGCTATACATATACATTATTATTAAACATATTTTCACATTAGTGATGTTGTAAGTAAGAATTAGAACTAATAGGAGGAAACACCAGAAAGAGGAAAGAAAACACAACAGAAGAAAAAAAAAATAGCAAATAGTGTGCTTCGATCTGCATTCAAACTCCATAGTTCTTTCTTTGGATGAGGATGGCATTTTCCGCTATGAGGCTTTTGGACATGTCTTAGATCCTTGTATTGCTGAGAGGGGTTAAGTCTATCAAAGTCAGTCATCATTCAATGTGGCTGTTACTGTGTACAATGTTCTCCTGTTTCTGCTCACTTCACTCAGCATCAAACCATACAAATCTTTCCAGGTTTATCTGAAGTCAGCCTGTTCATCATTTCTTATAGCACAATAGTATTCCATTACATTCATATATCACATTCACAATTATGATAACTATCTGTGTCTTTCTCTTCATCCTTTCCCCCCCCTCCGTTTATGCTTTTCTTTCTCCTTTCTCCTTTTCCCTCTTCACTAATGTTTTGCTTTTGACCACTTCCTCCCTAAGTCCCACCTCCCTTCTATTAGCCCCCTCCCTTTTCTTCCCCTTTACCCTTACTACTTCTTCCCTCCCTTCTATCCTCCTTCCCTTTTCTTTCCCCTTTTTCCTCCTATTGCCTATAGGGCATGTTAGATTTCTATACCTAACTGATTATGTTATTCCCTTCTTAAGTCAAATCTGATGAGAGTAGGATTCAAACAATGCTCCTCTCCCTCCCTTCTTTCCCTCTGCTGTAATAGGTTTTTGTGCCTTTTCCTGTGATGTAATTTACCCTTGTCTGCCTCCTCTTTTCCTTTCTCTCAGTACATTTTCTTAGTTAGATCAGATTAATTCACTTACTTGGATCCATTTAACCCACTTGATTAAATTTTTTTCATCATTACTTCAAAGTCAATTTAGACCCACCCCCTTTATGTATACCCCTTTAACATGGTGTAATAACAATACAGTTCTCAAGAGTTACAAATGTCATCTTCCCTTGTAAGGATGTAAAGAGTTTGCCCTTATTAATAATATATTGTTACTTTCTGTCCCATTTACCTTTTTATGTCTCTCTTGAGTCTTGTATTTGAAGATCAAATTTTCTGTTGAGTTCTGGTCTTTTTATCAGGAAGGTATGGAAGTCCCCTATTTCATTGAATATCCATCTCTTCCCCTGAAAGATCATCCTCACTTTCTTTTCTTTTCTTTTCTTTTTCTTTTTTTTTTTTTTTTTTTTTTTTTAGGCAATTGGGGTTAAGTGATTTGCCCAGAGTTACATAGCTAGTAAGTGTCAAGTGTTTGGTCTGAGGCCAGATTTGAACTTAAGTCCTCCTGACTTCAGGGCTGGTACTGTATCCACTGTGTCACCTAACTGCCCTAATTGTGCTCGTTTTCGCTGGGTAGTTGATCCTTGTTTGTAATCCAAGCTCCTTTGCCTTATGGAATATCATATTCCATGGCCTACAGTCTTTTAATGTAGAAGCTGCAAGGTCTGGGTAATCCTGTCTGTGGTTTCATGATATTTAAATTGTTTCTTTCTGGTTGCTTGCAGTATTTTCTCTTTGACCTGTTAATTTTGGAATTTGGCTACTATATTCCTTGGTGTTTTCAATTTGGGATCTCTTTCAGGAGGTGATCGGTAGATTCTTTCTATGGCTATTTTACCCTCTGGTTCTAGGACCTCAGGGAAGTTTTCCTTTATGATTTCCTGAAAGATACTGTCCAGGCTCTTTTTTTCATCATGATTTTTAGGTAGACCAATAATTTTTAAATTGTCTCTCCTGGATTGATTTTCCAGGTCAGTTGTTTTACCAATGAGTTATTTTACATTTTCATCTATTTTTTCATTCTTTTGTTTTTGTTTAACTGATTCTTGCTCTCTCATACAGTCTTTAGCTTCTATTTGCTCAATTCTAATTTTTAACAAATTGTTTTCTTGTATTAGATTTTGTA